TGTCGTTAACCCTTTCCGACCTGGACCACGTGATTCCTTCCTTGTCTAGCCTGCTCGGGATCGCGCATACCGACACCCGCACCCCCGACCTTGCCTCCCGACATGTTCTAATAGCCTGCCTCATCCTGCCCATAATGAGTTCAGAGCCAGGCTTGGGAGTATCGTGGGTCCCTACGTGAAGGACCTCCGACACTTCCTCGGCCGACTCGGAGCACACCACCGATCCGATCCTATCCGTAATGTGTTCGATCCTAGCATCGGGAAACTGACTGAAAGAAACCTGAGCTCCTAAATCTTTTTCCATCCCTCCCTCAAGACGCCTGACGTTCGAGTAACACCACCGATCCGATCTTATCCCTAATGTGTTCAATCCTAGCACCGGGAAACTGACTGAATGAAACCTGAGCTCCTGAATCTTTTTCCATCGCTCCCTCAAGACGCCTGACTTTCGAGTCACCGACGATTACAAGGGCCCGAGTTTTCCCTCTCCCTTTCAACACGGCCTGAGCTTGTCCTGCCGACCTCACACCTGTTCCCACCCCGCCCTCCGTTCCCTCATCCAAGTTGACCTCCCTCAACCCGAGAAACTTGTTTTCGGTCTTAATGACTGCCTCCTGGGATCGCTTAACCTTCGCCCCTTTACGACCTGAGCCCAATTACTATCCGCCTGGGAGCCGGCACTCGACGAGCTGTTAAGGGACGAAAGGGCCAGCCTCCTAGGTAAATATGGAAGGCTGGGGAACCCCCGGACTTCCCTCCTCCACCCTAACAAGCCTCGACAATAAATCATCTCTCTGAATCTCGCCCACTACATTCCTGATCCCTCTTATCTATATCTCCTCCACCACGCTAATGAGCCTTCCCCGATAGTTCCCTATAGTTCCCCATGGACCAAATCATGTTTTTTGCAGGATGGTTGGACAAAAGTCTGAATCGGTCAAATTAGAATCTAGCAGGTACCATATACCTAATTGAAATATTAAAACCTTTCTTATATTCTTGAGGAAGATAAGAAAGCCTTACTTGATGGGAATTAAGGAGAGAGTAGAGATGTCCAGGAAGCATGAAAGTAAACTAACTTGATGACTATTGCCGGTAATGAAGGTTTTGTCTCGTCCCCTTTCTTTTAAGTTACCTTCGGTTATTGACTGTATTGAAACATCTCGGCATTATTTCTTTTCCAGACAGAAGAAAAAGACTCCACTGACCCTTCCATTCGCATCCGATGAGTTACTGATACCCTCCTTAGTTGTGTTTGAGGCATTTTCCAGCATGTTGCCATTGTCTTCGAGATGCTGCTTGTCATGCTGAAGACTGGAACCCTTGGGGTGGACAGATATATGTTATTCCTAGGTGAAAATAACATCAAAAATGGTATGAATATAAAAATAAAAATTAAATATTACGTACCCTGACCTTGGAAGAAGGCAAATGTGGTGGAGCAGGAAAAACTTTTTGCAGTAAGGAGACGTAAGTAAAGGTGGACTTTTCATCTGGTTGGTAGATATCGAAGTCTAAGAGAAAAAAGATAATCTCTGTATTTCAGGAGATTCAAGTGAGATTCAGATAAAATCCCAAATTTTACTCATTATGTGAATTTTTCTTTATAATCCAATATCATGAAGCATGCATACCTTAAAGGCTAATATTTGCCATAGCAGTAAATCTCTTTCTTTCAAGTAAAATAATATTCTCGATGTTAATGTCATGAGGAAAAGTATCTAATACTAGCGAGTTTGTTTGCCCTTCGTGCAAACAAACTCGCTATGGTCGCGCCTTCGGCGCTCCATTACCTTTGAGAAAGATTAATTCATTCATTCTTTGGGAAATGGCAGGCACGTATTTAATGTATGTCCCCATTGAAATACGTGACATATAGGTACGAAAATCTGGAATTTGATTGAAATCATTTCTTCTATGATTCTATGTGTGCCTAATTTTAAATATTTTCTTGTGTCCCTTTTAGTAAGGGTGGAACATGCATTTTCAAATATTATTCATTCCGTCCAATAATCATTCCCTCCCTCCTTTCATTCCCTCCAATAATCTACGCAAAGGAGACATATTTCAAAAGTAGGATTTTTCCTGTACTCAGCCATTAAACAAGTAATTCTGAAGTAATTTTGCCATTCCTGTCTCTGTTTCGTTGGATCAAAAAAAAATTCAGGAAAAGGGACTTAAAAGAAGTGCCCTGATGGGTTTTAGCGGAAACCTTTATTCCCTCTGAAATGGAGACTCAGGGAACTCCATGCCACCCAGTTTCAGTCGTATACGTTTCCCCTTTTTGCTGGCAGAAAAAATGTATTTAGAAAAGCGACCCACCCAAAAGTTGTGCTCTGAGGAGACGCACTAAAAACTTAATTTTTTCCTTAAATCAACATCACGTCCGTTATGCGTGCGCCCGTTAATTTTCAATTTCTTTCCGATTCGTTAGGATATGAAAAAATAATTTAAAACGTTACGTCCAAAAGAAATATGAACCCCAAAACTATTTTGGAGCTATTTGCATGCTGAGTTCAGGAAAAGTTCTACTTTGGCGATACATGCCATAGGGCCACACCTTTCGGGGAACAAATTTTCAAAGAGTTCTCTTTGCTTCAAACGGAGACACATGGAAAGCTGAAACTTGGAAAGAACGTGACCGTTGACGCACGGAGCTCAAATGTCAAACGTCAAATTTCCAAAATAGTTTTGGGGTTCATATTTCATGAGAACGTAACGTTTTAAAATATTTGTTCGTATCCTACCGAATTGGGCAGAAATAGAAAATTAGCTGGCGCACGCATAATGGAGTTGATGTTGATTTAATGAAAAAATCAAATTTTTTGTGCGTTCTCATCAGAGCACGACTGTTGGGTGGGTCGCTTTCAAATACATTTTCTCTGCCAGCAAAAAGGGGAAACGTATAAGTCTGAAACTGGGTCGCATAGAGTTCCCTGGGTCTACATTTCAGAAGGAACACATTTGTCGTTAAAATATAGCGCACTTTTTTTAGTCCCATTTTCCCGAATTTTTTTTTTGATCCAGCGAAACAGAGACAGAAATTGTAAAATTCCTTCGGAATTACTTGTTTAATGGCTGAGCACAGGAAAAACCCTACTTTTGAAATATGTCTCCTTAGCGTAGATTATTGGAGGGAAATACTTCAAAACGTACCAGCGGCCTGCGGCCGCTACGCTGGCCGAATAATAGGTGGGAATTGAAATCGTCTATTGTGAGCATAACGCCTCCTTGACAATCCTCTGTTCATCGTATTAGCCATTCGGAACAGAATTACATTTATACACATGTAGCTCACAGTACACAGGGAGATTTTGTTCCTAAACACCATCATCATGATATTGGAGTTGATTGCCACAATAGCCATTGTGAACGCCTCGGTTTAGCACATGAGACTCAACGACTTTGCTGATTTCGTCTTCGTAGCACATTCAATACTCTTGCATCACTGATTAGCTCATGGGCTATTAGCGTTTGCGTATGGTACAGACACCAATGGTTCTGAAACAGTGCGTACCATTATCCAAAAACCTTGTTCGACGGCACAGAGGGAAGTTAGCATTGTGCCGCACATGCACTAACGAATAATTCCTGAAAATGCACCGCCGCCACTTCAGCACCAGTGAGCAACACTTTCAGAGCCTCAGGGTAAAGTATGAATTGCAGCAGGAACATTTTCCGTTGTGCCAGCAATATGAAACACATGCTCCCTCGCTGTGGCAAACGACTGTAGTGATTGAGATGACATGGAGAGGCATAATATCCCCAGTTCCGTGGTGTAATGTTAGCACACCTGATTGGCAAGCAGGAGGTCCGGGTTTAATTCCCGGCTTTCAACACCTGAGGGCTGCGTTCCTTGCATCAAGTTGCTCAGCAGGCTGTACGACTATCCTGTTCCGGAGCTCAGCATTCGCTGCCTCCTGCTGTTCGGCAGTCTAAGCGGCCCTAGGCTCCCTACGGTCGCCTGCTTGCTGTTCACTGATGACATTGCGGCTAGCACGGATTTAGGCACTTTGTACCGCAACTGCAGTGGCAAACGTTTCGCACCAGCACCAACCGTTTTTTTGTTTTTACCAACAACTGCCTTATCGCCGTCCTGTGTGACCTCCTTCAACATTTCTTATTCACGTTCAATCTCACCTCGCAAAATCGCCACCAATTTGATGGAAGGTGCACCTCCTTTGCGCGACATATGAAGCATATACTTTTTAGACTATTATTTTGACATCATTAATCACGAGAACTCTAATAAATTGGCCATGACATGAAACGCAACCAGAAAACTATTGCGTGGAAGCGAAGACGCAGACCACCACACCTGATCTGACGAAAAAAAAAACAGAAAAAAGATCGACTGCACACTCTCAATTTGAAATTGATAAGTGAAAACGTGACTCGCGTTCAATTATAACCACCCTTTGCTTGACACAGCTAAGTATGAAGCCTATGATTCAGACTGATATAGCCCGATGGACCTAGCCCCAAATGCATTGTATGACAAAGCCTTTGGCCTAGAATAGCATAGCCCCCATGGACCTAGTGCTTTGAGCGGTGGATGGTCTAGCCCAGGGGTGTCAAACTGGCGGCGCGCGGGCTGGATCCGGCGGGCCAGTCCATTCTGTCCTACCCGCGAAGTCCTCTTCAACAGTTGGCCACTTAAAAGTACTGCAAATATCAGCCTGTCTTCATAGAAGATCAGGTGTTAGGCTTTTATTGTGGCTCCCAACTTTATCGAGCTAGACACCCCTGGTCTAGCCCATGGCCTAGGATGACATAGCTTAATGGACCTGGCTCTTTGAGCGGTAGATGGCCTAGCCTATGGCCTGAAGTGATATAGTCTCGTCGGCCTCGCGCGTTAAGGTTCCAACTACCACCACAACTATCGGCCTCTTTGAAATAAGTATAAGATGGTTTAGAAAGGCATAGTCAGGAGTCAGGAGAGTTAGTGATATCAAGAGGCGATTTATCTCGTTCTCTTGCTGTCATCAAACTGGAAAAACCTACCACACTCGACTAGTCTTGTAGGCCTGGCGGTTTAGGTCGTGGATGGCCTGGCCTATGACCCAAAATGGCATAGTATCGTAGGCCCGCGCGTTGGGGGTGACAGCCACGACTACCACCACCACAAGTTTGACCTCTTCGAATTAAAGTATGAGATTTTCCACCCTTACTAAAAGGGACACAAGAAAAGATTTAAAGTTAGGCACACATATAATCATAGATTGAATGATTTCGATCAAAATCAAGACTTTCGACCCCATATGTGACGTATTTCAATGAGGGCGTACTTTACTATGCGTGTTTCCCATTTCGCAAAAAAAATGCATGAGTTAATCACTATCCAAGGTAATTGAGAGCCAAAGGCGCGAGCTATGGTCTGTTCTCTGAAGTCATGCGGGAATGAACAAAATGCAGCAACTTGATTTATGCACACACGCATACATTCACACTCAGCCACATATAATCGAGGTTTTACACTATGGGTGACGGAAATGTTCTGAGCCTTGGTAAGAAGGGGATATGTAAGGAAATCGTCACTAGGGTTCCTATCGTCACTTGTTCGTCTTGCAGTAGTGTACAGAAACCTTTCATTGCAAAACCCACCGTGCTTCTCTATTAGCTGGTACTTGTAAGTGGTCGTATCTAGCGACCAGCCATCAAGGAAAACCCTAGGCTACGGTTACGTGAAGACATCGTGCGGATATGCAGCAAATTTTGGGAAGTGACGCACCATTATCTGCGACTGTGAAAAGGTGGGTGACCAATTTCAAAGGAGGAAGAGAGATCTTGGAAGACGTCCCCCATGTTTGACGTCTCGTCACTACAACAGGCGAAAACATCGACGTCGGGCCAGATATGATCCTGGAACGCCATTGAGTGACGATAGAAACCATCGTACAGTATGTGGAAATATCATGAGAGAGGGTGGAGCGTATCATTGTGAATTGAAAATGAGGGTAATGTCCGCCTAATGGGTGCCCCAGAACCTCAACGAAGAGCAGAATCACCTCCGAGCGACCTCGTCACAGCAACGTATGCAACGGTTTCTGGAGGGTGGTTATGATTTCCCCTATCGTTCCATATCCCAGGATTATACATGGCTTCATCATTTTGAGCTGGAGACGAAAAAACAGTCTCATCAATAGGAACACCGGGACTCCCGGCCTCCAAAGAAAGTCAAAACATGAGCGTCGGCTGGAAAAGTGATGACGTTCATCTTTCGGTACGCAGCGGGCGTGATATTCATAGATTACTTCTCTAAAGAACAGACAATGACTAGAAAATGCTACACCAAATTGCTCAGTAATCATCGTGACGCCGTAGGCGAGATAAGGCGAGTGAAGTTGCAACTTGGGGTCATCATGGTTCATAACCACACAACCCCTCACACCTCTCGCATCAGACTGCAAGGTCTTGAGGATTGTTGCTTAAAAAGGTGCTATCACCCCCACATTATTAATCAGATTTAGCCCCTTCCGACTGTCTCATTTTCTATGGTGCCACCAATGCTGTCTCTGAATGATAACGACTCCCAAGACACATCCATCAAATGCAAAAGCATGATGGAATTCCATCGTCACTAGACCAAATGTGTCGATCTTTGGGGGGATTTTAATGAAAAATTCTAGAATATGAATATCCAATAAAAAGTAATTCCTACTTAGGCTCAGAAGTTTTCAGTTACCCCTTATAAGACACGAATTCATCGATCACAATGTTGCATATGAACAGCAAAACCAAGTGATCGAAACGTATGAACGATTTTTCTAATATAAAACGTTGAAGGCATGTACTTTGTGAACTTGCTCGCCATTTAGGCAGAAGAACTCGCTCGTGCTCCATTGCCAACAAATGTGTTCTGTTTCAAAAGGTACAAGACAATTCCCACCTGCTGGATCTAGGAGTCTTTCCACTGAAAAGTTCTCCTTAGCCAAGGCGAATACGTTTTCCAGACGTTTGACTGGGGTTTGAGCCATCAAATCATTCCAGTTGATTAGATCGGGCCTGCTCAAACATCAATCAACATATGGGCTTGAGGGAATCTCATTGCAAGTTAAACCAGCACAGAATGCATTTTACCTATTTCGATGGATAATGGAATTAAACGCCAAACCATCACTCCAAGAATTCGTGAAGTCAACAACCGTCGGAATATTATACCCCTCTGTTGTACTTTGGGCCCATATCAACAAAGCTTTTTTAGCTTTCTCCTCATCAGTCGCAAAGTCTGATACCTGGAACCCAAAAAAAGAACATATAGTGCATATTGACGTTTATTGTAATATTAGAAAAGGATCACGATAATGTCATGGGTGGAAGGACGAACACCTACTTCATGTAATTTGATACATTTCTAAGGTATAGTAAGGTAAGCTAAGGGCTTGGAGAAAACACTCCAAGATATTCCATGTATAATATCAAGAGTACGATGCATAATCGTATGGTAATTTAACGGATCACACACTCATTCAGTTAAATTCTGACTTTCGAGTCGTCTTTCCAGTTGATTTAATTTTATTGGCAACTGAACCATATTCATCAAGCGAACGAAAACGTCAGACTGAATGAAACCAATTTCAATATGGCATTGTTCGTAAAAGAAAACTAGTGGCTTCATCTCAGTGATGGATCATGCTGAAAAGACCATATTAATTGTATATTTAACTCTCTGGATGAATGTTTTGTTTCAGTCCTTCGTCTGCATGTAGAGGGCTAAGCAGAAAGTTACTTATAAATTATGCATGCAAAGGCAGAAGCACAATACCATTCAGGATTACCTATCGGTACGACTATTTAAGAAGCTTAAACGCTCCGTTAAATTGCCAATGATGTGACATAATGGGATGGTACTTGACAGAGAAATAAATATGCTTAAGACCCCCAAGAGTTTCATCAAATAGATGAAAACGAATCTTTCATTATGGACGAGGTCAGTATACGTTTACCTTAACAACATGACATTTTTGAAGAAGTAATACATCCCTCGAAATAAATTCACTTACGGGACAATCCGGGGGCTTTTTGATCCCAAAGGAAAGAATGATGGACCAAATAAGTCCTAAAACTTGGGTTGTTTTCCCGTCCACGATGTCTTCTGCTCCAATTCCTTCCAATCGAACCTAAGAAGGGATGAAAACCAATAATGTAGTAATGCTATTGCGTTTGAAAGTGCAAACAAATGGGGAAATAGATGATATGCTGGCATCTATGTAGAAATTTGATATTCTCAAGTTACCATCAGTGGATCGGTAGCATCGCTAAACCTTTAATGTATCATTTTTTAGTTGCAGTGAAATGAAACCTGGGAACATGACTTCAAGCAAAAAACGTAAAGAGAAAAGTTTTTTTCAAATTTAATTCAAAGTTTTCTGTCAACATGTCCGTCATTTCGCCTTAGCCGTTTTCTTTTAGCGAACATTTTACTGGGAAAATTGGTTCTCCCCAAAGAAAACTTGGGTTTTGGCAAGTAGGTGAACGATCTCTTTCCTCCATTTCCCGGTGAAGGAAGACAGTCAGACTGTCCGAGTATGCCAGATCATCGTAAGAAAGATAATTACAATTAAACTCGCTAATTATTCGTGTATACCCTTTGATTATTATACACCTTTGCCATAAATATCTTAAACAATCCACATGAAAGCCGTACGAGGATAATTTTGTTGGGAACAATTAATGACAGATGAAATCAATAATTTCTTGCTGGATAGACTGAATTAGAAGTCTGTCAACTTGTGGAGTGCTGATTCGTTGGTCTGCAATTATAACAATCCTGAAGCTAAAAATTTCAATGCCAACCAACTACACACACTGAGCCTGGTGTTCCAAACCACTGGTTGTCCTTGAAGGAAATTGCACACCGTATTGTAATAAGACACCTCTTCTTTCAAGATCTGCTAGCAAATGACAGGAAACTATTTGTGTCCAAAATCTCACTATTATTTATTGAGCAGCGGTGATTACGGAAGGATACTAATTGCTAGAATGCCATGGAAATTCCATGTTGGTTGGTCGGGTTTAGAAATAGGTCATTTCCGAAGTTACTGACGTGACACCATTCTCTAAATGAGAACATGTATGATGGTATACCTAAAAGATGATTCTGTCCAGAAATTATACTTCAACAGTGATTCATGGAGCACAGGTATCTGTACCAATCCCGACGAGGTAGTGTCTATTACCTTTCTTCAACCTCTTCCAGCGACAAAATTCAACCGTCTCATATTCCTAAGTGCATCAACAGAAACTAAATTTGTTTTTTTTTTCTATCTCTCTCTAAGCAATATAGCTCTAGCAAATTTGAAGCTTCATCTGTTCAGGATTGTGGAGACCACTGAATTTTATGGATTCGAAGATGTGAATTTCATTCCGGTATTTAAAAATATGTTTTCTCTTCCCCTGGGAAGAGAAAACATATGTTTAATTCCCCACCCCTGGGAAGTTTTCAGTGATAAGAGACCAATCAAACGAAATATATGGACTTGTAGGTGATGCAAAGTGTTTCTTTTATTAATATTCCTGTGCACCATTTCGCCATGAAAAATGCAATTAGCTGTCGTTCATTTAGGTTTAGCGTGATAGTTCCCGTCCCGACCACCAGTGCTACCGATATCTTGCCAGAGTTAGGCTAGATTCATGACTTATTCGCCTCAGTAACGGTGTCTGGATCTTCTGTTTTTAGTGTGTCTCCTTCCCTGAAAGGAAAGGGACCATTTATGGTCCCGTCCTGTCCGTCCATGTATCACAATTTGGTCGCCATACGAAAAATAAGAATATATTGGCCTATGCGATGCGAAAATTGGCAATCAGGTAGATATGAATGAAATACAAGCTTAGTTCATTCTGTGGTAAGCTTTCACAATAATTGCAGTTTCCATTGGAGCTCTAAATCAAACATTTTTATTTCCTCCACTTCTGGTAATGGTTAGTTATATGGTCATTCTTCGTAACAATGGCTCTATGTCGCAACTTTAATTCAGCTAGGACATTCTGAACAATAGATGGGTCTACGTTCTCCCACTCCTCCCTCACAGCTTTCCAAGTCCTGTCATTGTTATAGAGTCTTGACTTGCAAGTGCTCGCGTGAGAAGCCTAATTAAACAGAACTCCATGAGAGTCACACCTGGTGACTACACAGGGACATCTCTAAACGGTATAGCCTTTACTTCCGTTTCACTCTCAAAATTATGGAGGAACGGCACTCAATTTGACAGGGTGACTTGTCATAGTGAAGTACCACTTTTGAAACCTCTCTACCATACATTCCAGAGATCTATTCTTGAAGCAGAGTTGCCAGAGCATTCTCTGGATAATACTATCCATTCACCTTAACCTTCGGATTTACTCTGTGGTGGTTTAATTGTCCACGGTGGCAGACTGCACCAACCCCCCATGAAGCATGCGAAGTACTTCCCTGCACTAAATGTACTACTTATAGAAGTCTCTATATCCCATCAGGCAGTAATAGACATCCCGGTTTTTGCCAGTCATTCAGGTACACATAGGCTTCACCTAGAGTTACAACATATTTGAACTTTCCCCGGTCAGGTGGCGCTCGTTTTACTTTCGGTCTTCTTTCTCTTATGAGTTTCTCACCAAGAGTATACACACTTGGCTCCTGCTTCGATTCCAGATTCAAAAATTGTCCAATAATATTGAATATTGTTCCTTTAGACACTTGATGCTTCTTTGCAATGGCCCACTAGGGATTCGAGTTCTCTTGCTTGACGCAGGTTTCTATTTTCTGGATGAGGTTCGCGCTTTGGATAGGACGCGGACGAGACTTTCGTGTTTTTTCACCGCCATGTAGACGATCTTTCCGACGTTCATCGACTTCCCGCACAATGCGAAACACTGTCACTTCAGATAATGTGCATCCTTTCGCGACACTTTTTTCACAATGATACAGTATGAGTTTTCATCTCCGACAAAAGTTTTTACGTAAGTCTCATGAAGTACCCCTCTACTGCCATTCCCAGTTGATGAATCCCTGTGTAAAACTGGCAGTCATTTCAAAGACCATGTGTATCCAACGAATGTCCTGAACTCAATAGCCTCTGTGGGAAAACTTGTCAGAAGGATTCAAAACCAATTCATTTTCTGGTGGGCACCCTCTGTAATTAAAGAAACACCCCAAATCTCCAGTGGCCGACTCGATAAAGAGGTTTAAAAGTGGGCCTAAGGAATGACCAAGGACGTTAAGAGACTTCCGTTTCAGAAGGTTCTGGAAGTGCTGTGGTTCTATTCGCTCAAGAGGAAGTTAACGACGGGCATCTCCTCCAGGATTTCAAGATCATGAAATATATCGGTAATGTTGAACGGAACAGGTTTTTTCAAGTCGATGACAGTATGTTGAAGAGAGGAAATCAACTTAAGTTACGTAAACCCCAGGTTGACTGATATCCCGGCCAGATATATTCACTTGTAGGGAATGCATGTGATGCGTTAAGCGAAGGAACCCTCGACCTCGATACGGTATATCGGTAAGAGCGTAATCATCCTTTGACTTCCCTCATGCAGCCGTAGCTTCTTGCAGGGTTCTTAGTGACAACGAAGTCCGTTCAAAAATACTTTAAAGTTATATTTAGAATAATTAAGTCGCACGTACCTGTGTGAAGACTTTCGGATATGGGATTGGTCTCACTTCTCATCCGATCTGAATCAACTTGGTCTATCTATTTTTCCAACAGGGAAGACTCATGACTCAATCTTGAAACTTAATTTAGGCGAGATTAAGGACTACGTACCTGAGGAACTCTTTTTTTTCATGGAGACTCCCAAAATTCTCAAAAATCTAGAACCATTAACTAAAGGAAACTTCAGATTTCGGGTTTTGATATCTTTCAAACTGTGACTGTCATCTTAATTCTCCTTCACTTCTTTTTCAACATTTTCTTTCTATCTCTAGCTCCTATTATAATGCCCAAGATGCGAGATATCGGTAGAACCGGAGGCAGCACCCGTTGAATGCAATGACGATTCAAGCACCAGTTTTTTCTTTACCTCATATAGGAAGGAAGCGGGCAGGCACTCGTGACCTAGAAATACTTCGAAATTGTGAATGAAGCAACAAAGCACTTCCACGGACCTTGGGGCGAAGGAAGATGAGGCACTTGTTAACGTTCTCGATATTGTGAATCCTCGTTTCACCCTTCTCAGGATCGGGCAGTTTCTCACCAGATATAATCTCAAGCAGTTTCAGAAGTATTTTCCCATCTTCTAGATCTTTGCATAAGTCCTCTATTTTCATCCCAACCTCAATCAAGGAAAAGAAACAATGTTTTGAATAAGGAATACAATAAGCCACAACATTTTTGGTTATACTGGGTGCATCAAGATTTCCTGGCTGTAGTAATTTAAGTACGAAAGTAATACAATTCTCCCTTTTTATTTTAAAATGAACAATGGATGACGTTATATTACATGCTCATGAAATGATTTTGGTGTTACTGTGCGTTGCCAATAGGAATGAAAGAAAGAATATTAGGAATTTCACTGCTTGCATCCTCATAGAACCTCGCCGACTTCTACAACGGGCACGGGCCCAGTGGGTCGGATTGATGGAAAGGTGAATTCATTCATTCAAAACCTAGACCTCAACGACAACCTCGACACGCCCCAATTCCACTACAGTTTTTTACTCTTCAGGAGTCCAGGTTCGGCAAAAGGTAAAAGCCGACTTGATCACTCCCGCTCATCTTTGTCGAGCGGAAGTGATTAAGACAATATTCAGCAAAATAAAACCCAAACTGGGCTTTCCAGAAATTACTCAAGAAAAGGAAACCCAAACGCGATTAAAATATTACTGAAACTGGGACACTAAAATGCTCTCCCAAATGTGAATTGAAGGAATGAATGCAAAATCCTGATCAATATTTTCAAAGCAAAGCAAAACGAAACAACCGGTCCGACACTTTATACTCCCTACTAGCTAAAAAGGGCTTGTACCTATTCTCAGACATAAGACATCAAGTTCTGTTATGAACTGATGCCTCCACTACTCAGGCAAACAGAGCCATCAACTATCTTTCCCCGTAGAAGTCGTGGAAAAAGCAATATAGCCAGTTTTAGGACAACCACCATCAAGAACGGCCCGAGTAACCCTATCAATCTGGTACTGATTCGAGTTCCGAACGTCTGCTCTCCCATCAAATCCGTAGGGAGGGATCTTGATAGGGAAATTCATTAGATTGGCGACTGACAAGGGACACTACCCAAATGATATTTTCTGATTTTTGCCTAACTTCGGTTATTGAAAGGTCTCTCAAAACGAAGTCAAACGGCACCAACATTTGCGGCAAAGAAACAGGTTTAGGCTCATTACTGGATCTCTCAATGTTCAGTCATCCAGGATTATTAGAAAGTCACCACCCTATTTTCATTGGCTATAACTTCTCAAAGGAAAGTCAGACTCAGGTGATAATTCACAGAGGTTCAGGAGTTCAGGAGGTTTTTTTCCCATGCCACAAGATGGCGATGCCTGCCAATAGAGGGCGCTGATGTCGACAGCAGCGCCACCTATCTACATGCTGTCATTTTTTGCATGGAAAAAATCCTTTAAACCCAATTAATCTCTCTGCCAAATATCAACTGTATCAAAGAGTTCTTTTAAAAAAATGGCCTGTCAAAGTTGGATTTTGATTTGTAACAATTGACATGGTTTGGTCATAACTCATAAAAAATGAAAAGGCAGATGCTGCTATTGCTTGACAGAGGTGTTCTGGTGTCTATGACCTGATCGTTTCCTTGCCCAGCACATATTTGTACATATTGACAGAGGGTACGGTGATTGCATATGCCAAGGAGAAATGTGGAGGAGCAGGAGGGCTCTGCTTACAGAGTTTCTATTTCGGTGATTCATGGCAGCATATCAACGTAAGACGTTGCTGCATTGAGAGTTTCACTATCTCTTTGTGGAAGCGATGTGAATGCTAGACATATTCCTTTATGTAACCAATTCATTTTCTCCGTATATTATCTTTGCTTATGCCACCACAGCGCCACATTGTCCCACCGGCAATGTTTAAAAAACCGAGGCATATTTTTCTGGTCACAGCCATATGCTGGCATGGCGTTGCACCCGTACAACCTGAATCCGTCTAGAAATGAACATTAGTCGTATTAATGCGAAATCCGAAGGAGTTTATTGAGCAGAATTCGTGGAAGAAAAGAAATGAAGCAAAACGCGGGTTATGCATTGAATTTAAAACAGCCTCCTAATTAAAACAGCCTCCTAATGCTTGCTAATTACTAATGGTCTAGATAAGATCACGCAGTGTTTCAGGGGCACATCGATGATGAAAAGGGGAACGTTAAGAACTAGAAAAGATGAGAGCTCATGGATGAATAATTTCTCATTTCACCACCACATTCGATTTAATTTTTCATTCTTTACTTATATACCACGTTTGATTGAACCTTATTCCAAGATATTTTCCCCTGGAAATGTAATTGCATGACGAGAAAGCAACTCGTCCGAATAGTCTCATCTCTTACCTCGTTCAGGAGTGAGTTTACATATTTTGTGAAAGTCTTCTTCTGAATTTCCTCTTTTTCCGATTGAAGTCTTTTGCGTCTGATAGAGATTTGCAGAGGTTCTCCCCTCTCCAACGGTTTTAGTTCCTGCATGGCTTAACTCATGCAGAGGAACTTGATGAAGATCTGTTGGAAGGCTGGTGGAGCATCGCGGAAGACGCCTACTTCCACAAGGGACACTGACAAAATGCGATCATCTTCACCGTCTGGGCAATATTATCTTTGTGAAGCTTGAAGCACATTTGATGGCATCCGGAAATAGAAAAATCTAGGTAAGGAGTAAAGTGTTGTTATATTTCATTGAATACATTTGCGCATTTCCTGCATTGAAATTGAAATTATCACTATTACTAAAACAGTTTTTTTCCCAATCGCTAAAACTATTTCATCAAATCTTCATGCGAAATTGTCCAAACTTCATGTATGACCTCCAAAACCATGTGTTCGTCTCTCATATCTATGCGTCAGACGTTTGGGGGACTAACCCTCAAAATAAAAGTACCCAAAGGAGGATGTTCATTTTCGGCCTAATCGCGCGCCACAATGAAACCGGTGCCGATCGATAGAGCACCTCAAGTAGTGCATGAGTGTCAATGACCACACTGTGATCCGAGGTTGCTCTGATCCGCTGGAGGCGAAGATTTTGTGTAGGTTAGGTTAAGTTAGGTTAGATTATGTTAGGTTACTTTACGATGAAATTAAATTGCACTTAAAAGTATTAGTGTTTCTTCAGGATTCAGACCATTATCAATATTGTATGAATTTGACATCTATTGAGAAAACAAAGGAAGATGCCAAAATTATATGGGAATTAGTCTCGTCGCGTCCCACAATGAAACTGGTCCCGATCGAGAGAACCCCTCAAGTAGTGCGTAAATGTATATGTCCCCTCCGCCTGTGTCACCTTCATCCGTGGGTATTCTGATCAACCAGAGGGCGTATCAATCGGCAACATAGTTTGGTCCATTACGACGCATAGGGCGTCAATACTTGCTAACTCGTACACAAGCAAAGGAAGTTCATCTAATGCATACAGACGGTTTTGATTGACTGTTGGTTTGACTGACGCTAATTCAGATCATGGTCTAGATGTAGTGAGAGAATGAAAATTGGTAGACAAATAGCTGTTTGGTTGTCCAGGAAATCTCCGACTTCGACGGTATATACCCGGATGCACATTTTTGGGGACTGATTTTGTTGGGCTAGGCTTCATGCCGGTGAATGCTCGCAAGGTGGAGCTCTCTTCATACTGCCCCTCTTTCGTGTGCTTG